TTGGGTGGGGGTAATTGCCTCAATTAAACTAGGGTTCTCCTAGGGGTGCATATTACTTCAAAATATGTAATTTTATTATAAAATTTATAATATCAATTATAAAATACATAATTTCATTATAAATTGACATAATAAAAAATGTCATAATTAAACTACAAACTTTTACAACATTTAACTACAAAATTGTGGACATTTTTGTGGCGAGAGTATACATTTTGTAGTTAATATTATAAAATTTTATGATAAAATTACACATTTTGTGATAAAATGCATATGTTATGCACCAACAATAACGTTTTCGCTTAAACTAATGTAATACTACACATTCTTGTCATTCATTTTTTCAAACACAAATATGATTAATTGAATAAGTTGAGATTATTTGATTATTTATTTATTTATTTTGATGATATAGACGAATGGGTATACAAAATGAATGATTGAGATGAGATATCAAAATATGACCTATGATGGGCCTACAAGCCTAAACAGGCACCCTTGCAAATCTTGATTTCAAGAGAAACCAGACCTTTAAGGCTTGTTTGGTAATGTTTATATTTAGAGGTAATTATGAATTAGTCTCATTAAGGAGATTAAATACCATTAAGACCTATTGATTTTTTATTTAGTGATAAATTTATTAATTTTTCTTGTTTTATGAATAAATATATAGTGATAAATTTATCAGTTAGGACTTGCAGGTAAATAATTCCAATCAATAGGCCCGGCTTGCAAGTGCCTCTTATATTTGCTTTTTTTTGTTGTGGTTGTTTATTACATAATTTTTGAAAACTATTAACAAAATTCATTTGGTTTTTGTTTTTGTTTTTGTTTTCAAAAAGTTGTAAACAGTTAAATTTTGTAAACACAAAAAAGTTTTTTCTGTTTTCTATTTAATTTTTTTTTTGGCATTTTTTCTTTTCTCTCCCATTCTTTCTGACTACCACCCATTACTCTTTCATCCCGATCTACCCCATCCTCATCTCAATTGTTTTTAATATAATAAAATTAAAATATTAAAATATTATACTTAATGTTCATTTTTACTCATTTATTTATCATATTACATATTTTAACTCATTAATTATAAATTATTATCTATAATATACTATATTACCTTTAATTATTATTATTATTATTATTTAAACTACAAAACTAACCTATCCCCGCCCCTGATATGATATGGGGTAGAGGTGAAGGATGACAAATTCACTCCAAACTTGTCTCATTGCCATTCATTCTCATCACCTTTGGCTACATTCACAACAATGAAATCATCTGTCAACCACCTTCGACACTAATACAATAATAATTAAAGATTACACAAGAGAAATTAAAAAACTCACTTTTATTAAAAGTGTAATTTAAAAAATTAAAATGATATTTTAATTACCATTTTAATTTAGGATTAATTACTTAAAAGTCCTAATGACAGCATGTGTGGTAGCTTAAGTCCTGTGTAAAAGTTTTTGAATGCTTAAGTCTCATTTTGAATTGCAATTGATGTTCCTGTCCTTTTTAATAGATCACGTCAATTTGCAAGTTGAATGATGATGACTTAATAAACTCAGAAGCAACGTAACAAAATCAAATATCAAAATTAAGAATGTTAGATTTAAGATCTGGAGATCTGGTTTGTAGGTAAGAACTGAGATGTTCTCAGTTTTGGAATTGTGAATGTTTTTAATTTTAAAATTAAGAATGATTTCAATTTATAATTACCAAAACTAAGAAATTTCTTAGTTTTTTCTAGTACTAATTGAGAATATTATCAATTATGAAAAATTTCTCAATTTTTTTAAGGTTAAAATTGAGAATATCATCAATCTACTCTCTCTCTCTTACCCTCACCTTCATCCTCATTTTTCTGCACTTTCCAAATCTGAAAATCTCTAGATCTGGTTCTAGATAGACATGATTGGGTTACAACGGTGAGAGGCGGCGACGGTGACAACGAGCAGTGGGCAACTACGATAGCGAGAAGCGATGGGCAATGATGACTATGTCTTCCTTCCTCCGAAAATCATCGACCTGAGATCTGATGATTGATAGGCGAATGGGTCTAATTTTGGGTTTGGATTGGGATCGAGCTGAGAATTGGGTCTGTGAAGAAAATACTGTTGTTTGGAGACCAAGGGAGGGGAGTGAAGAGGCTAAGAGAGGAGAGTTGACAAGTAGAAGTGAGATTGTTGCCATGAGTGCTTTGCTTTTATGGATCTGTTATAGTGATTCATATATGAAGTGAAAGAGTTAAAAGAATTATAGATAGAGAGAGGGAAATGAATGAAGTGGTAAGAGAGAGAGAGGCAGAGAGAGTGTGGGTGTTGGCTTTTTGGCTTTTCGAAGGGTAGTTTTGTAAATGTGAGCGTGCCAGTAAGGATCAATCAGTCCTTACAGAAATTATGATTGCTAACCAATTATCAGACGATTGTGTTTTAGTTCTTTTCAGTCTCAATGAAGAGGACTTTTACTGGTGGCTTGAATTAGGAGAAATTAAGAGAAATAACAGTAATATGAAGAACAATTGAAGTATTTCATAAAAATGAACACTTAAAATGGTCCGAACTCAGCCTCGGAGAGGTTTACAACAGCAATCTACTTGAATCTACTTGAAGCTACTCCTATGAATTGAAGTGCAGTGCGAGTATTTAAAGTGCAGGTATTTAAAGAACAGGTATTTAAAGATGGGAAATGTAAAAGACTGGAAAAGAAAATATATGAAGTAAATGACTGATTTGTATGATCTGAGTCTGTCCATTTTTCTGGGGGCTGCCCTGCTATTTATACTCGTCAGTGATGACCTTCGAACTGCACTTCGAACTGTCGAACTGCTCCTCCATGATCGCTGGTCATGCTCCCTTACAAGTAGCTCTATTACGCCATTACTGGCAGTTGAGCTTCCCTCTTGTACTTGGATTTGAATATGAGTAACCGTTGAAAGACACGTCATCTTGCATCCCGTTATTTGATCTAGTGTTACTCGGATCATGTGAGGACCAATGTTTATTGTCACGTGTACGATCAGGATTAAAGGCTTGAATAACCTTCCTTTATTACCCTTACTATGCCACGTGTCGAACTGTAACTGGCTTTTACAAAATATGTAGCCAACAAGAGTGTAATAATTTGTACTGATTTTTTGATTAAAATAACCTATTAACAAATGAGTATAAGTTTGTTTTTACTTTAACTATAGCAGATTAATTAATAGCAACTACTGGTGCATTACTTGGTGTTGGAAGAATCATGTTTTCTAATTAAAAGGATTTAAATCGATGCAAAAAATATATTTTAGCCATTAGATGTACATAAAATGTTTAAAATATCAATTTTATTGAGTTTAATAGCTAATATATGTATATATATTTATCGATTTTACTTAATAAAAATAGACAAATAGTTTAGATTGAAAACAAATCAAAATATTAGAATTTAAATTGATAAATTAAGACTTATTTTGTTATAAGGGTTCAAACTCTATTTTTTTTTTTTTTTTTTTTTTTTTTTTTTTTTTTTTTTTTTTTTTTTTTTCCGAAAAGCTTAGTTTTTTCTAGTACTAATTGAGAATATTATCAATTATGAAAAATTTCTCAATTTTTTTAAGGTTAAAATTGAGAATATCATCAATCTACTCTCTCTCTCTTACCCTCACCTTCATCCTCATTTTTCTGCACTTTCCAAATCTGAAAATCTCTAGATCTGGTTCTAGATAGACATGATTGGGTTACAACGGTGAGAGGCGGCGACGGTGACAACGAGCAGTGGGCAACTACGATAGCGAGAAGCGATGGGCAATGATGACTATGTCTTCCTTCCTCCGAAAATCATCGACCTGAGATCTGATGATTGATAGGCGAATGGGTCTAATTCTGGGTTTGGATTGGGATCGAGCTGAGAATTGGGTCTGTGAAGAAAATACTGTTGTTTGGAGACCAAGGGAGGGGGGTGAAGAGGCTAAGAGAGGAGAGTTGACAAATAGAAGTGAGATTGTTGCCATGAGTGCTTTGCTTTTATGGATCTGTTATAGTGATTTATATATGAAGTGAAAGAGTTAAAAGAATTATAGATAGAGAGAGGGAGAGGAATGAAATGGTAAGAGAGAGAAAGGCAGAGAGAGTGTGGGGAGCAAAATATTCGGGCTTTTCAATTTGTAAGAGTAAATTGGTCTTATAAAATTAACATACGACTTAAAGTTTAAAGTTTTGTGAGTAGAACTTAAACTATCATTAATTGTTAAGACAGGACTTGTATATAAATATTCGTTTAATTTAATTAAGTAAAATAATATTTATTTTTAATCTCAAATTTCAAACATGTGTGATTATACTTTTTATCACATTTCCTAAATAAATGTGATTGTATATATCTTTCCAATCTTGTGATTGGAGTCCAAACAGACACGACTATCTCTCTCTCTCTCTCGACCACGACAACACCAAATCTACCTCCACTGCCACACCGCTTCTTTGGTTTCCTCCAAATCTGCGGCCGCGGAGTATCTGATCGCCAGTTTCCGGCAACGGGCGGCGGCGGCGGACGGAGGAGGCGGCGGCGAAGCAGTTATCATTACCGGTAACTTCCCGGTGAGCGGTGAAACTTGAAGAAGTCTTTGATTATGAAGAAAGCACATGATTGTTTATTCCAACGTTCTCTCCGCCGGAGCCTCCATCGCCGGCTCTATGTCCGGCGCTCCCGAGGACCTTCACAACTATACTTCTGTAAAATTTTGTCCATCTATACAAATTCTATATCTGATTCGATGAATTAGTTTTTATATTCTTAAACTTATTGTTAACACCAGCTCTTCAATAAATCTTTTTAACACCTTATTTTTCACCTAACAGATTACCATTATCCCCTAAGTGGGACTCACTAGAACTCATGAATATTTGATTCTTGCATTTCTTATTCCCAACTTTTTCAGAATTCAAATTCCAAGTACTTGCAATTCAATTCATTAAAACCCTTGCTCGACATCAAAATATTTTTTTATTTATAAAATTCTGATTGTAGTTGTGTTTTTAATTTTGATGTTATCATTGTTTGATTGCATGGTTTTAGTTGATAGTAGTTGAGTTTGGATTTTGATTTTGGTTTTTTGGTTTCTAGGAAATTAAAAAAAAATTAATTAATTAATTTAAGTAAGTCAATTAGTTGGATTTGCATTTGTTAGCAAAATTTCCTTTGTTTCTATTTCGGGTGATTCAGCTTTATCTAGACATTTCCGTAACCAAACAGGCCAGGCTGATTGGTTGAGTGAGGGTTTCTTTCTTTTGTGAGCAAAGAGAGGGTTTCTCAAAGTTACCAATAGCAATTTTGTCGTAAATATTCTTAAAGCTCTCCTATTGAATAGAAGAATTGGGGGAAGAGGGGGGAAGAGGTCATGGTCTTTAACAGAGATGAATTGGCTATATTTATGCTAATCTCTTGTAAATTCCTCCAAATCAAAGAGATTTTTTTAATCTGTATCATCAATTAATTGGCTATATTTATGGACTGTTTTAGGGTTAGTTATCTGTAGGATTGAAAGACTGAAAGATACAAGGAAATTCTCAAATCTGGAACTGTAAGTAGGAATTTATTTGTTCTTCATTTATGATTACTTGTTAGTTCATCTATGTGGGTGATTATTCTGGATGAATGATTTCCAAGAAAATGGATTTGCATTGTTAATGGGCAAGTGGAGCCCAGACCTGGAGTTTTGAGATCGATGGATGAGGCCAAGGCTGCTGTAAGATAGACATTTTACCTTATAAATGCAATCGTCACTTTGTCATGGCTCTTAAGTTTTTCATTGTATTTGCATCTGTTATCCACAGTTAATTAGGTAAGACTACTTTTCTTCCAAAGTTTAGTCAAATTCCACGTTCCCTTTCTTACATGAAGAATCATATTTGAATTAACCTTTTTGGCTGACAATTATAGGGTAAAAAATTAGCAGTCTGCTCTGCTGCAATTAAAAAAGTTCTTTTTCAATCCTTAATCCTTTTTTTTTTTGCCTATCAAATTTAAATTTGATGAAAAATTGCTCAAAATCCATCTCCAACCTTTTCATAAAATGCTTATCAAATCGAGGGAAAAACACTTTTTTTCTTCACATTGAGTGAAGCATTACCAAATTTCATCAACAACATGAGCACTAGGCAAGCAAAATTCTCCTGAACCAGGTGCTTTGGGTTGTGCTCCCATTTAGGTATTATTGTCCTGAACCAGGTGCTAGTGGCAGAAATAAGGTCAAGAGACATGTGCATATATTTAGTTCTTATAAGAAGGTAAAGCTCTTACAACAAGTGAATAAACATGTATCAAGGTAGGCTGATGTACACCATAACTCATGACAATGCTAAATTCGGTAGGTTTATGATTTGTTTGACTAGAGTGTTCACAGATATTTCAATGTACGGTATTTTGTTTGAGTTTTTTATTTTCTGAAATGTTTAGTTCATATAAGAAGGTAAAGTTCTTGTAAGTGAATAAACATGTATCAAGGTAGGCTGATGTACACCATAAATTTGAGTATTTACATATATTTCAAATGTGTCGTATGTGACTTGAGCTTTTAATTTTCTGAAAGTCGAGCGTTCATGCTACATCAGTTCTAGGTGCTTTAACTTTCTAATAATTTAATCTCATTATGCGAGTGTATAATCTAGGTGTCTATATTTATATGCATGTGGGTTAGTGTCATTGCCTATTTAATTTGGGCAGTGATATGACCCTTCATAGTTCATGGGGATGCTCTGAACTTATAGATTCTTTAGCTAAAGCTTATTTGTGGTTTTCATTTTTCTCTTCCTTTTTGATTTCAGTAATATGTGTTTGTCATGTGTTTTGGTTTTTGCAACTAACTTCTGCAGCTTGTTGGGTTGTGCGCTGCTATCTGTTACATGGTAATTTGGGTTGGATACGCAGACGTGCACTTAATCTTTGGTGTTTCTATGACTTGAGAGCATGTGTGGCTCTGCAGGGAGAGCTGAATAATCAGCTGAAGCAGTAGTTCTGGAAGATCTAGGTATGCTATTCCAGTCTGTATCTCTCTACCAATGATAGGAATTGCCACTTCTTTTGTAACTGACTTTAGATACTCAGCATGATAGTTTTATCTGCTTCTCATTCTTTAGATGTTCTAGCCAATTCTTATTCAAGCTTTGAAACTTGATGCTGTTGATGAATATTTTCTTAGATTGTGAATGCTTCATTCATTTGCTTGCCTAGTGCTCATGTTACAGGGCTGTAAACAAGCGAAGTTCTTATGGTCATTTGCTTTGTTGTCATCCATGAACTTGTTCAAGTGCTCATTAATGACATCATTCTTTGTTCTACAGGAGAAACAAAATGCCAAGAAGGAAATTGAATAGCTTGAGTTGAAGTCTTGTTTTTACAAGCATCAGTTCGCCAACAGCATTCACTAGCATACCTAATAAACCAGGTATCTGATGGCTTAAACACACTAACCAACAATTAGCAGCATGCATGGAAGCTGCCTATAATTATAATATATCTTTGCATTATTAGCCAAGCAAGTTGACTCAAATCTTGTTGACCTTTGATCCATTTTGCTTTGTTGTCACTTCTTTTAGGTCTCCAATTCTAGGTGGCTTTTTGAATGCAAATATAGTTTATTAGAAGACCTTTACAAAGTGCTTGCCTACTACTAAATGTTTGTGACTTTACTGTGTGTATATATATATACACATATAAATTTTCCTATGTATATGGTGATCTCATGTGCTCTGTCTTCATGTTGATTCCTTTTCATTTTTGATTTAAATGTAGTGCCTCTGTTCAGCTTCTTTCTTAATCATAATGTTTTAGAGATAGTTTACACTAATCAGAGTATATTTGTTCTTTCTTCTTTTTTTTTTCTTTTTCTTTTCATAGAGGAGGCAATAATTGTAATACAACACTCTGAAAATGGCAAACATAGCTGGGCCTTATGTCAAAGTTACAATTAACTTCTTAATTGAAATCTCATACTCACTGTGATTTATTCCTTCCTCTATGATTCATTCCTTCATACATAGCACCATGTTCTGAGATTATGAACCATCTTTTCATCTTCTAAAGTTCATGACCCTTTCCCATTGTCAAGGATAAGGTTTTTATTTTTAGCTGCTCTTTTACTTCAATTGGTATTGATTTTTAATAACCGTAGTTTTTGTTCTATTTATTATTTATTTAAAGGAAATGGTTAAGTTTTATCAACTTAAGCACTAACTAGGGACAAAATCATCTATTATTGCCAGCTGAAGCAATGAAATTTTAGTATATTGAAGTTGAGGCTTTTGTATTATTTTGGGATTGGCCAAGCACTACGTTAGTGCTCTTTCATCCCTAGCCCGAACCCTAATTCATTTTTTATATGAATTACCCTTTCTTCATTTTTCACATTATGGAGTTTGAATTATTGCATTGGCCCCAACTCCACGGGCTGTTCTCTAGAGAGACTCTAAATCGTGTTAAGAGTAATGTGATTCTGTGATATCCTTTTACTGGAAAATGCTTGACATGTCAACAAAACACTAAAGTATCCCTCTTTTGTGTAGTGTATTGCTCAGCTCTCTCTCCATTTTAATCTGTTCTTCTTTGTTCTTAGACCACTTATCAAGAATTTTATATTTTTCCTCACCTATCCAGTTGATGTATCTGGATGATGTTACCCCTGCATTTAATTTCAAGTCTAGTTGATTAATTCGAACTCTGATAAATTCTATAAACTTTTTATATTTTTCCTTACCTATCCAGTTGATGTATCTGGATGATGTTACCCCTGCATTTAATTTCAAGTCTAGTTGATTAATTCGAACTCTGATAAATTCTATAAACTTTTTAGATTTTTCCTTACCTATCCAGTTGATGTATCTGGATATGACGTTACCCCTGTATTTAATTTCAAGTCTAGTTGATTAGTTCGAACTCTGATAAATTCTATAAACTTTTTAAATTTTTTTCTTCTAATTTTTGTTTTCTTTAATTTTGAACAAATTAATAAGTTTATTTCTATGCTTCTGGCGACTTCTGAACTAATTTGTGTTTTCATTATTGAAGTTAGAAATTACTTGGAGAGATGGAATATATGGTCAAAGAAGACCGAATATTCAAGAACTTTGAGTTTTCCTTAAGTTTTTTTATTTTTTTATTGAGATTTTTATTGTGTAATCATAGTAAAAAAAACCTTTTATTCCTTAATTTTCATTGTATATATTTTTGCAAAATTCGAGTTTCGTTTATGAAATATATGAGGTTATTAGCTATTCATATGTGGTCAATATTGTGATTCGAAGGAAATTTTTGTACAAATAATATTGATTATATTTTAGATATTAGTTCTGTTTAGATTTTTCACAATCTATACTCTATAATTGATAGTCACATTTTGTGATTGAATCTTTTTTTTTATCACACTAACAGTGATGAGATATTGAGAAATATATATAGCTGTGATATTATCTCATTATTAATTATGGATTATGTAAGTTTAATCTTAGGTTTTATTGATCATAAATAACACTGAAAATTTGTGATCTAATTGTTTATTATCACGGTCAAAACATATGATGAAATTATCTTTTAATGACAGTCAAAAAGTGTGAAAAAAATGATCCTTAACAACCACACTCTCAAATATCACACTTTGACAAAATAAAAAATCGGTGATTAAATAACATGCATCATACTTAAGATCCATAATCTATTTATGATTTGGTAATAGTGTGGCCACCACATCCCTCAACCACTAATTACCTTCCATCGACACAAACTACCTCTTACTGGCGATAACGATCTTTGACCACTACTTTTATTGAAAATTACTTTCAATTACAACTTTAGGCGGTTGATAGGTCATCATCTCTAATCATTTCTTGTGGCCAATAACCACCTCTAGCCATTACTTCTCGTTACCAACAACCACCTCTAGCCACCATCTCTAACCGTCGACAATCATCTCACGTAACTTCCATTTTCACTTGTTTTCAAAATATAATTTTAAAATACTTATATAGCAAACATATTTTTGTTTTCATTTTCTTTTTTACTGAAAATAAACATAAACATATTTATTGTTTCTTGTAAAAAAAAAACAATAAACTATAAATTTTGCCAAAGGACACCTTAATTGTAAACTGTTTTCTGCGAGTGAACTTTATAGATTAATGAGTTGAGTTTGGCAAGAGCTATTTTATCACAAAACATTCATTGGAATTTTCTATTTATTTTCCGTCGACTCACAAGTTGGTGAGCATAAAGAATGAAAATACACATGACAAATTGCACTTATGAGAGAGGAAGGAAAATGTCGAAAGATGGGTAGAAAAACGGCAATAATTATCCATTTATAAATATTTAGGATTTTAAAAATATTTGCAAAACATGAAAAATAAGAAAAATCAAATATATCAAGTTTTATATGGAAACGAAAGTTAAACAAATTCGAATACCCTTTACAAATTTTCTAGAGCTGGGAAGATTGACCCGAACCCGCTAATCTGCCTATAATTTTATGGGCTTAGACCCTATTATGATATTAGAGAGGGATAAGAGAAATTATGTATTGAATAGTATGAATAATGAATGAGTACAAGTTTTTTAAATGGTATGAAACAGCAGCCAAACAAAACGAATTATCTACAATCCACTGCATCTCTCTTTATCTTATTTTTAAATTTTTTTTATCTGGTTTGCTTCTGATTATTTGGATATAATGTGTTTGGCAACAAAATTCTTTGAACAATATTTATCTCTCCCTCTAACTTTGATTTTTAAATTGTTTTTTTCAACTACTGCTAGCTCTATTTGCATGCATCTATATACACAAGGAATGTGAACTCACTTGATGGGTATGTTTAAAATATAAATTTTAATTTTAAATTTAAAATATATTTTCTATGTTGTTTAAGTGGTGAAAAGTGTTCTTTATTAGGTCAATCAATGGTCATTGGTTGAGGTCTTATGCCCCCTTGTGTAACTATGATTTTTTTTCTCCTTTCGAATAGGGAAATTGACACTTAGCGCAAGAAAAGAATGTCACTTAGTAAAAGGAGAGAAAAGGTTCATAAAATCAAGTGAGTTGTTCACTTTTAATAATAGAATAAATAGAAGTATAGAAAAGAATGTCACTTGGCAAAAGGAGAGAAGAGGTTCATAAAATCAAGTGAATTGTTCACTTTTAATAATAGTATAAATAGAAGATATACACATCTATCTATCTATTTATCTATCTATACTATTATTAAGTGAAGGTTAGATTTGGTATCCAAGCCTTCTTCTCGTGCCATGTGTCATATTTTTTTTATCCTAAAAACAAAAATTACATAAAATGTTGAAAGGGGTTTGAATTCAAGACCTTCGGTTTCATTAGAAGTCTCGCATCACTTGGGCAACATATACATATTAGAATATTAATTTCTTTATTATTTATTTTTATTCTTACTTATTTGAATTATACGCGCAAATGCTTGTGCCACCCGCTAGTCTATACATATGGAAACACAATATATATGTATATATATTGTTATATTTGTGTTTAGGTTCAATTTTATTTTATTATTATTATTATTATTATTATTATTATTATTATTTTTAAAGATAGGACTATATACATGTGTATGTAATTTTCTAAAAACTATTTATGAAATTTTTTGTTTGGCACCATTTTTTATTATTTTTAAAATTTGAATGTATTACAAAATAAGTTCATTAAAGTAAATGGGTTAGTCAAGTTGATTTGTCTAATTCGCACTCAATTTAACCCAACTCATTTAAACCCAACCAGTAAATGGGCGGGTTGGGTTGAATTATTTTATTACCTAACTTGCTTTAGCCGCCCATGTACTACCTCTACAAATTACTAAGGCAAGGGATTACATAACAGTGGCGCCTTCAGCAAATTTGATGAATGGGATCACTTTATAAATTTAAGTTTTACAAATTTTAAAAACAAAAAACAACTTTTAAACTAAATAACATTTATTGTGTTTGGTTCTAAATTTTTAAAAGTAGATTTTTTTTTTGGTCCTTAGTGAATTATATATATATATATATATTAGTAATTTTTTTAGATGCACCTAAAAATAATTTTTTTTTTTTTTTGTAAAATGAATGAACAGAATTTTTTATTTTTTTATATAAAAAAAATCACAAATATTTTACTTTTTAAATGTATCTAGATTAAGAGAATCTAAAAAAAAAAGAAAAAAAATATGCTTAAAATGTTAAAAAAATTCACCAAAGACGAGTAACCTCAAATACAAAAAAACTCAAAAGAAAATTTTGAAAATTGTTCACTAAACAGAGAAAAATTTAGTGTCACAATGATATCTTCAATCTTATTCAAGTCCATGTGGAGAGCGATAACAGGATTGTTATCGAGCTGAGTGTATTTGAGTTGGATCCTCCTTGGGACTGTCAAGCCATCATCTATTACATAATCCGTGCTCGAATGCATAACAACATTACTTTCTGCTAGTCTCCTAGAGAATCAAACCATGTAGCTCATTGGGCTGCTTCCATGAACATAAAAGGGCTCGCTTCCTTTAGATTGGGTTGCCAATCCCCCTTGTGAGCTCTCTACTCTCTTGTTTGCTGATGTTTTGTGAGCCTTTTGGCGTTTCCGAGTGAAAAAAAGAAAAGAAAAAACAAACAAACAAACAAACAAACTTACATATAGAGGGTAAACCTACTCAAAATATAACTATGTTGCCATATATACATGAAAAGGTAGATGATAGAATATTATTTATTTATTTATTTATTTTTATCAACAAATAACTTTATTGATAGCATCAAACACATATACATATGGATGACAACAATAAAGCAGAGGCGAGTAAAAAGTATCATAGTGAAACCTTTCATCCCAACTAAGTTGGCACCAAGAGAAGCACTCAATCATATGCCAGCTCAAGCCAAAGGGGTGGCGAGAAGCCAAACCCAAAAAACAGAAAACAAAAAGCTACAGAATAGCAGCACCCAATCACAAAACAACCAAACTAGCATCTGAGACAAACAACAAAACAGAACAAAAAAACCAACACCCCCAGACCACAACAGCTCGATCAGCAAACAAAGAAAAACCACAGCAGCAACTCCATCTTCATCAGCAGCTCAGGACCTACACCAGAAGATAAAACCTGGATGTAGCTGTTAGGGAAAATCGATATGATTCCCCACAAGTAAATCAATCAATGGGAATAAAAATTAATGCGGAAAAATTAAATCGAAAACAACACAAGAATTTTTACGTGGTTCCCTCAATGTGAGGTACGTCCACGGGATCGAAATCCGATTCCACTATCAACCAAATAAGTTGTATATCCTAACAGTAGCACCCACAGCAGCACCTCCATCTTCATCTGAGTCACAAAATACCAGCATCATCCTTCCCAGCACCATTAGGAGCTCCATACAGCAACAGCAACCTCTGTTTGCAGCCAACACACCAGCAGCAACCCCATATCTCTGAGCATCACCCCAGCATCTCTGCAGCGACACAGCAATAGGAAGCAAACACTGAAGCAAAGCAGAGCTCCTGTTCTGCAAAAACCCACAGATCTAACCAACCCAGTGCACACCGAACAGGGCAGCCCCCAGATACTAGCAGATAACTCAACACCCCCTATACAAGCTCGAACCTGATTAAGATTATATATAAAATCACTAACCGAGTAATTCCACCCCTTTGATGATGAAACCAGCCAAATAGCCACTCTAGCTTTAATTAACTCAGAAAGGTCCCCAACATCTGCAATAGCACCATTAAATGTACATTCATTCCGAAGCTTCCATATAGACCACAGTGCCACCAGAGGAACAGACCTCCAAATCTTCTTTTCATGCTTCAAAAATGTCCCACCCTCCCACCAACTCAGCAGATTGGCAACAGAACCTGGAATGACCCACTTGAGCCCCCACCATGCTAATACAGATGACCATACCTCCCACACAAAAGAGCAGTGCAACAGCACATGAAGAACTGATTCCTCCTCAGTTTTACAGAAGCAACACAATGAAGAAGCACCCCCAGCAAAAACCCCAATCCTACGTAAGAAAACTGAAACTTTAATCCTATGTTTCCACGCAAGCCACCCAAAGAATTGCACTTTAGGAGGCAAACCATTATTCCAGAGCAACTTACTAGGTCTAGATCCAGAACACAACCCCACAGTGGCAGAATTGTACAAAGATGATACAGAAAAGACACCTGAGGAATTAGCTGACCACCGTGGGTAATCCACTCTCCCCAAGCTAACTGTAGGGCCAGATTGAAGAACAGAGACAAACCTCAACATTTCATCTCTTTCCCATACAAAAAACTCCTTGGAAATATATTCCACTCCCCTGAAACCTCCTTCAGCTTAACAAACAAACTCAGAGCTCCTTCCTTCTCCCTAGACAGACTAAATAATCTAGGAAAAGCATCTTTCAAACAAACAGAACCATACCAATAATATAATATTACTATTGTATTGAACTTTTTTTTTCTTTTTTTTCATTTAATGGGATCTTTTAATTTTTTAAAACAACCAAAAATATACAAAATAAAATATTACCAATGCAAATAAAACTTTTTTTTTTTTTTAAGAGCCTTCGTTGTGTAGCGGTCTCGCCCTTCCGACATCCGGCATTGATTGAAAATACTTATTGAAAAAGCCGTTTAGAGTAAAGGTGTTGACACCACAAAATATACGAGACTGCGGTATAAGGAACCAAACCAAATTGAGGAGCTCGCCTCCTTCTCTAAGCTTTTGAAGATGGTAATTTTTTGGACAACTAATTGCAGCGTAGCATAACATGGCCAACCACAAGATTTTCAATTTTTCCCATTTCACCTCCTTATTACCTTCGTCGACAACGAGTTTAATAATCACATCTTTATAGAAAAAATCCATCGCCTCTACGAAACGCAATTTGGCTCCTTGTTCAATTTTACCTTCTTCAAAACGAACAGATCTTGGACCCTTAATGAAATTTTTTATCATATCCGAGGGATTGCGTCCTTCTTCACCTTCTTGTGTTTTCATTACACTACATATAAGAGTTTTAGAAATTAATTTTTTTTATCTCTAAAAGTATAAATTTTGTTTTAAAAAATATTTAAGAACTAATTTCAATTGTCGTGAATATAGTTGCAAAAAGTCATCTCGAAAAGTAAGAAAATGAGTTTTTAGGAACAAAATTTGAAAAAATATTGCTAATAAATGCATTTTTAGGGACAAAATAATTTGTTCTCAAAGATTTATTTTTTGAGACAAAACTTGTGGTTTCAAAAGGCTAGTAATTCATCGCTAAATGTCCAATTTTATCTCTAAAAATAAAATAATAACACTTTTTGTGACAAAAATATTTTGTCCTTAAAAAGTAATATCGTCCCTAATTTATTTGGTCTCAAATCATAATTTCTTGCAGTGATAACATCCGTAATATACCTGAAACAA